GTCCTTCTCCTCAGAGCTGCTCTCCATCCATTCCCTGCCCCGCCTGTACTTGTGCTTGGGATTGCCCCAACCCAGGTGCAGGACCTTGCACTTGGCCTGGTTGAACTCCATGAGGCTGGCAGTGGCCCACCTCTCCAGCCTGTCCAGGTCCCTCTGGATGGCATCCCTTCCCTCCAGCGTGTCGACCGCGCCACACAGCTTGGTGTCGTCGGCAAACTTGCTGAGGGTGCACTCAATGCCGTCATCCATGTCACCGACAAAGATGTTAAACAGCACAGGTCCCAACACCAACCCCTGAGGAACGCCACTCGTCACTGATCTCCACTCAGACATCGAGCTGTCAACCACCATTCTCTGAGTGCGACCAGCCAGCCAGTTCCTTATCCACTGAGCGTTCCATCCATCAAATCCAGATCTCTCCAATTTAGAGACAAGGATATTGTGCAGGACAGTGTTAAATGCTTTGCTCAAGTACACTTCTCTAATACTGGAATATAATTAATATTTTAACTTATGGGTGTGGCTGCATATCATTTTATCATCCTTTGTAGCACTATGATCATAATTGAGAGATTATTCTAAAAAATATAATAACTTGTTTGCTGGGAGTGTGCTATATTTATATTAAGTTTAATAAGCATAATAGTGAAAAGATGGTGTGGCATATAGGGGCAAAGAATGGAATTAATGAATTATTGATAATACTTCTTTAACTGGAGTTGTTTACAGGTCTGCTGCTTCAGACAGGTGCACACTTAGCACGGGGATTCCTAGGACAGTTCTGGTTTACATTTCTGCATTTGTAATTTGTCACATATTTACAAGTTTCAAAGCAGAAGTTTTTTATGCTGTGTGCGCTTTCGGTAAGGAAAGAGTTTGAAATTAATTTTGAGGAAATTACTTTTTATGAATATTTGATGTAGTATTTATTAAAGGGCTTTGTTTTGCTTTTTGTTTTATAATATGAAAGTCAGACCATGTGGAAAAACCAGGTTATATATAAGGGGCCATCACAAAAACAACTTGTAACAGTGATTTTAAAAAATTAATATATTTTTGTTATGACTATTAGCATCTTATATATATAAGTTCCTAAATAGGGCTGTAATTTGCCATGCTTATCTATTTTGAGTAGTATTTTGTAAGTATTTGTGTTTTGGGAGTAGTTGTTTTCAAATATAACCAAAGGGATTACATAGTAATTCCAGTACCTGAAGGGGCTACAAGGAAGCTGGGGGGGACTTTTTACAAGGGCCTGTAGTGACAGGACAAGGGGTAACGGGTTTAAACTGAAAGTGGGGAGGTTTAGATTGGATATCAGGAAGAAGTTCTTCCTGGAGAGGGTGGTGAGGCACTGGAACAGGTTGCCCAGAGAAGCTGTGGATGCCCCATCCCTGGAAGTGTTCAAGGCCAGGCTGGAGGAGGCTTGGAGCAACCTGGTCTAGTGGAAGGTGTCCCTGCCCATGGCAGGGGGGTTGGAACTGGATGATCTTTAAGGTCCCTTCCAACCCAAACCGTTCTATGATTCTGATTTGATTACATGGAGAATTCAAATGGCAAAACCAGTAGCCTGTTGGTCGGAGTCATCCCCGTCGCCTTGGGAGCGGTGGGGACCCCTGGTACATGTACAGGGGGAGGCTGAAATACGCATCGCCCCTCTCAGACCTCAAATCTATCTCAGGAGGCTTTGCACAGATAGGTAATGCATATTTTTATGTAATAAACTATTTTTTCACTGCTTGATTATCCCATTCAGCAGTTAGAAAGGAAGGCTGGCTCTTCCAAAGGGCATAGTAGCTTGAGCTGTTTGGTTTTCTCTCTGTGCCCCATCTTCCTTTTTTTTTTTTTTTTTCTCATTTTTAAATTACATGGCTATTATCTGTGAAAATCATCAGCAGTGGAATAGCTGATAACAAAATGCTATCATTGGGCTCTAGAGCTAATATCCAAATGAGACAACCAAGGAGCAAGAAGTTAAATCTGTTACTGTTCCTGTGCCTGTGCGTTCAGACTGTGTAGCATCAGGTACCCTCCGCTCGTGTCGGGATGGATGCCGCTGTCGCTGCCTAGTTATAAATTAAAAGGTGTAAAAAGTCATAGTTGGGAGAGTGGGGATGTAAACTTGCGCTGAAGACTAAGTCAAGCCTGTAGCCTGTATGTTTTCAATAACCTTCCTTACAAAAGGGAAGACATATTTAAAAAAAAAAATCCCCAAAAAACCAAAACCCAACAAAAAGCAGTGAAACAAACAAACGAACAAAAAACCCCAACAACGAAAAACCCAAAGAATAATAAAAACGCAACAAACAGGTTCACAGAGGGGAATCTCCTTGTTTTAAGTAGGGAGCTACCTAAACAGAAAGACATGCTTAACTAGGGTGGAAGTTCAGGGTTTGTGGTAACTTAAATGTAGAATTTTTTTCTATTTGGAAGTAAGTATGCTCAAGCCACTGTATAGGAACGCTTCAGTAGGAGGGAACAAGGGACCAGGATCAAGGCTGAATAAGCTCAATTAACATTAATATTTTATGTAATTGGGTAAGGGAAATTTAATCTTCCTCGCAACGTGTCACCCGACCAGCCACGTAGCATGCGGTCACTACACCCAAGAGCAGGAGGCAGGCAGGAAGCTGTTTTGATACTCAGATACATTTTGCTGTTGAACACAAATCCGAATTGCCGTCGTAAAACTCTGAGAGCCCAGCGTACCTCTAAGCGGTACGACGATACGGGATTGCTTCATGCTCCCGTGTCGTGGGAGCGCGTGGAGCTTGGATACGGGCAGATAGAGCCACGTACAGGGGAAAGGCAGCCTTCGGTGTATGGGTGTGAGTATCTCGATAACTGGAGTCTGGTGGTCCTCTGCAGCCTCTCGAGGCTGGGAACCACCAAACAGTCAATCCCTGCTTGGGCTGGGGCCAAAAAGTGTCATTTTAAAGGAATTGGTGCTGTGATTTGTTAATTAAATCACGCCCATAGGCACAGATCAGCGGGCACACCAGCAAAATCAATACAAAGCAGAACTTCCGTGCGAAGGGTTTTTCTCGCCGCTTTAGCTGGAGTGGAAATGGTGCTAATGTATCGCTGTACGGGGTTGACAAATGTTTTTCTAAGTTTGGATTAGAAGCTTTCTTGCAAACCGCCCACTCCTCCCTGGCTCGAGGTGGGTTGGAGCCAGCTGGCGCCGGCCCAGGAACCAGTCACCAGGTCAAGCGGGAGATGCTCTGATTCAGCAGGGGCTGGAGCAGATCGTGCAGCTTCTGCTTATTCACCTCCTGCAAAACTCCCTCTTTCGGGTGCTGCACGTTCGTGTGTGCGCTGTGTCCCAGTCACGTTGAGCCCGGCCTGCCTTGGGGAGGGTGTTGTCGCTCTCTTGGCTGGTTTAGCCAGCCGCCTGTGCGTGTGCCTAAGTTTAGGCGACTGAATAGCTGAGTTGATAAAATTGTTCGCGTGCTTGGCATCAGCACGCTTCTGGATACCTTGTTGAACCAGAGACGATGCGTGTTACATCTTGGTTTTTGGAGGGTTGGTTCCCGTTGCAGGTTTATTTTGGGAAGTGAGAATGTAAATCGAGTAGAGTCTCCCAAGTATTACTGTATTAAGTATACTATAAAGGAAGGTTGATTCATCAATTTCTTCATCATCTTTACTCCATTTGCTTAGATGTTTGCTTTTTCTATTACCAGTAAAAAAATAGAATCTTCTTATTCAGAAGGGGCTATGAACACCTCCTTATTACTAGTGAAATGTAATGTGTGCTTTAACGAGCAAAATAGCTACTATCTGCCCAAAACACATACATTCATTCTGCAATCAGCAGTTTCATACGTAAAATTAATACTTAAGTGGTGCCAGGAGTATTAAAGTATGTAATTGTTATTATTTAAATGCCTTGAATTTATTTGGAACAGTCACATTTTTCTTGTATATATTTTCATTTTGTTTTCATAATCTACATTTTTAAGACATCCAGCAGTTGGGCTATATACGGTTATACATGTGTTAGCTGCTTTTTAATTTATTCCTGTATAATCCAGTATTATTAAATTCTGTGGACTAAGGAACTGATCCTGTTCATTAAAATCAATAGATGCAGTGTTGCTCTGTGAGTGTGGTGCGCCTTGTGGGTATTTTTTTCTTTGTGGGATCTATCCTTCAACATACAACAAACTGATGCATAAAGGATCTGATGCTTTAGGCTTTATTTGGGGAAAATAGCCACTGATGTCAGTGCCTGAATAGGATCAATCTCTTAAAAGGATAGTTTATTTGAAACTGCTGCAGCTATTATTATGTCCTTCTGGGCAAAAATAATCTTACACATCAAAGCTTTGGAAACAGCATCAAGAAAGCCAAGTTCAGCAGGTCTTTCAACCCTGAGAGATGTCAACCATCACTCTGTTAAAGCTTAGCCTGGTACATACCAACGACTGCTCAACCATCCCCTTTCTTTCCTGTCTTTATTTATTTATTTTTGTGCTCCAACTCTTGTTGGCATCTAAAATCACTAATCTCTACCCATTACCATTTTTGCTAATTTACAGTGATAACTGTGGCTCTGTTTTCATTAGGAGATGAAAGCCGGGAAATTAAAAAACAAATTACAGGGATGAGAAGATTACTGAATGACAGCACTGGAAGAATCTATCAGCGAGTTGGCAAAGAAGGAGAAAAACTGAAGGAGGAGCCCCAAGATTTAGACTTAGCCTGGGCCCAGCGCCTGAATCCCCCTGCAGAGTCCCAGGCGAGCCTTCATCCTTCACAGAGCGGTGCATGGAATGAATTACCACCCCAAGCTGGCCATTTTTCAGGGCAATACGGAACTCGATCCAAAACGTTCCACAATCAAACGCGAACCGTGGCATCCAATGGTATGATCTGCATTAGATACTGAGAATAGTACCTTTTTGTTTCTCTCCTCTCCTTGTACTGTACTGAATTTCAGCCTTTGTTGTGATGATTTATTGTACTGCTGCACTGAAATCAGTTATAGTTCAGAGTCTACAAAATGAGCACATAGTTATCACTTTGAAAAGGTGCGAAAGTGGGCACGGTGCATTCTGCTACCATCTGTCTTAGCTTTTAAAATGGATTCCTGGTGATAGGACAGAATTACTCAATGCTGATGCAGGCTTAATTTCTGTACGCTACTTATTAAAACAGCTTTTGCCATTGTTATTAAATTCATAGCTAATTAAATGTCAACCTCTACCACTCCTCTTTGCAATGAGTAATGTAGCACTGTTGTGACACCACTTGCGGAGCAGGATTCGACTGACTTTCGTAAGGGGATGGCATCAGCCTTACAACTGGCCACTGAATTTCAGGTACAGAATCCCATCACAGCCTTACGCTTTTGTTCTGATGGGACCACTGGAGAAAAGAGATGATGCAGTCTGTGTATGAACAGCTTGTGCTAGACCACGGTCCATCTTGTGCTGGCCTAAAGTAGATGGCGGCGTGCCCTTAAATTGCTTTTCTCTTGTTTTAAGTCCCAGACAACGGAGGTTTTATTGCCAGGTTACTGAATGTCTTCCTTAACAATCTACATGCATTTCAGAAAGTTTTTCTCCTGATAACCCTAAACTTGGAGGGATTTTTATTCTCAAGGGATACCTCAGTCCTCAGTTCTAAATTCTGGAAAATAAAAAATTGTGAGATTACACCTGAAAACTTTATTGATTTCCAATTTACTGTTGATGCTGAAGGTAGTCATGCTTCCCGATAGGGGCATCTGCTGTGTGCCTGTCTCTAAAGGCACACAAGTTATCATTGCTTGTAACAGATAAAAGAAAAAACACCAACTATTATTATTCTCAGTACTATCCTCTACTGTCACTGTACAAAAAAGCCATGCAGCCCAAGGTTTCACCGGATTGAGTGTGTCTCTGTAGAGACATTGATTCACACAGACGTACCAGGTGACCTGGAGAAAGATGTTGCAGTAAGTCATGCTAGTTTTATTTATTTTATAATAGAAAACAATAGTTGTGGGGTTTTTTTTAAAGATGCAGATCCAGGGGAAAGGGGGAAAACACCTGATGGTAGTTGGCATCCAAGTCTAAAACTATGCTCTCAAAGTCCCACCGTAGCAACCTTCTAAATGTGGAAGGACCCAAAATTCATCACACATCTCCGTCATTGCCCTGAGAGTCCCTGGGCACTGGCAGGGGGAGTTCTCTGCATGCACAGAAGTGCCCAAGCCTGCACAGCTTAGGTGCCTTGTTCCTGGATCAAGAAAGTAGGTGGAGCAGCACCTCCGTCCCCTCAGGGGCCTGATTCAGCATGTGAGCTAAAACGTGTTGACAGGATTTGGCCCTGTATGCAAGAATATGTCAGTGTTTTGATTTTTCATACAAGGAGGAAGGGTTTGTCAGATTTATGAGCTCATACAGGTTAGAACGGTCTGTGAGAGAGTGAAAGGGTTGGGTTGAGCGAGCTCTGGGCTGGTCAGGAGGAATGTCCAAGCTCCCAGCTCCTGCGGAAGTGCACCTTCCACCCCTCCCTCTGCAGCTGTCCTGCTGCAGAAAGGAATGCAATCTTTTAGGTTATTACATAAAGATGGGTGTGGGCCCTCTCTGCTGGCCACCTTTGAAAAGACAACATGCTTGGAGAGCAGGACTGTAGGTACCTACTTCCAGTGAGGTGTTGTGATCCCGCCGGCCAGTTTTGCTGCTTTGGCTCTGAAGCCTGGTCTGTAGGAAAGAAAAACTTTTGATGCGTTTCTGAACTGTGAGCTAGTTCTGAAACTGCTCCTCACCCAGCACGCAGCTCTTCTGGGGGGCAATTCTAACGTGCCCAATTCCCTCTCTCTCTTCCACTGCGAGCCTGAGTGTCTCAGTAATTCAGATGGTTTGCAGAGGATGGACGAAGTCCTGAAAAAGCTGGGTGTAGAAATGCGATCGAATATCAAAGGAGATACTACTCCTTGATACTTTCTATTGTTAAACTCATCTGGGCAAAACTGTTCAGGTAGGTCATAAACTTATTGTCTGGGGCTGTCAGGCCTAGGTCATCACTGGGGAGATGTCCAGGCATCCATAGCAGGCGGTCTGAGTCCAGACGCTGCTGCTGTCCATTGGATAGATGCTGTATAGGAAACCAAAATGTATGATGTAGATGTGTGAATTACTCAAATTTGACTGTATTCGGGATCTTAAGTCCATCTAACTTGCATAGTTACCTACTCACGTGGTAAAGGTGGTTCAAAGAAAGTCTGGTGGTAAAGGTGGTTCAAAGAAAGTCTGGAATGGATGTTTCATAGCTGCAGGTGTAGAAAGGAGTTGTGAAAAGGGTATTGGCAAAAATAGATGGAGAGAAAAGAAGGAGTGAGGGGAGCCCAGGCATTGCTGCAACACAGGGAAGAGGAGGAACATACTTGAAAAGCAAAGTGATTTATTCCAAACCGGATTGAAGGCGATGGTTCAACCAGTCAGGGTGTTAGGTAGACATCTGTGACCCACTGCGTTTCCTGGAATCCTCTTAGGGCTACAGAGAGCGAGTAGCACGTCAGCCATGTCAGAGACAACAAACTCACAGAGCCTGTCTGAAACATTTTACTTTGGATCCTTGTGCTGTGTAGCAAATCCAGCAGAGGTGCAGCAGCTGAATGGCTTTTCCCTTGTGTTAAGATCTTTTTCAATGGATTGCACTTGCATGCTTTTCAGATGTAAACTTGTGGTAGCAACCTTACACCTGGTGAATTCAGCCCAGCAGGTCCAGCTGCAAGAACCGCTGTCTTGGGCTGTTGCTGCTCACACACAGAGGAGGCAACTAATGTATTTGTGTCATCTTCTTCTCTCAATCATAAAAGCTGGTATCAAATTTGCCTGCTGGCTAGCTTCCAAAAGAGAGGGAGATGGCTCTTTAAAGACTCCTTCATAAAAATAAGAAGTCTGTTTTCCTTTTAAAATTAAAAATTGATTTATAACAAGTTGAAAAGGGTTGCTTTTGTCCTCTAAAAATGATAAAGATAGTGCTCGGAACAATGACTGAGAACACTCTACAAGATGTTTCTTACAACACAGTAACTGATCAGAGGAGGGAGGATAGAATGAAAATAAAAAACCCTCATGAATATGTATGAACTCAGTAGAACCCTGCTTTGATTTGAAATATTGGTGGTCTCTTTTCCCATTTCCAGTACCTATGGTAGATTTACATGGGTAATTTCTATCAATGCTAATGGGGATTATAATGTAAATCCCCCATGCCTCAGTGGGAAAATAGACCCTTTGGTTTTCCATCAGGAGCCTGCTGCCTGCGCGCTTTCATTAGGAACGCGTTACATTGCAACAGGAAGGATGTGCAGGTATTTACTGACACAATTTGTTCAAGTTTTCACGTGCAGTTCACCATGATGTAGGGTCTTTGTTAAGAAGGAAACAAAAGCCACCAGCCCTGTCTCCCACTGTAGTCCTTCAGATACTATTTCCAGAGACCCACTGGAATATTGGATTCTCATCAGGAGAGAGGTGGGCCTTTTTCCAAGGATCTTATTAATCTAAAACAACTGAGAAAGCACTGGAGGAAAGATATTCGTGCTTTGTATTTGTCTTTTATTAATAAAACTCTCCTGATTTCCTGGGACTCCATTTCTGGGGTACCTGCTCGTCTTACTGAAAGGTATGGAATTATGCTGATGCTATTAAATTAAAAATAGCCTTGAACCTCATCTACTTAAAAGTCTACCTTTAACAAATAGTTAAAGGGTATTGGTGGAGACAAGTTGAGGGATTCTGAGTAATTACTGCAAAGCTAAAGATAACATTTTTTTTTCCTCTGTACCTGTAACAATGGGCTAAACACTTTACGGACCATTGAAAAGATAAAATCCCATCCATGCCCCAAGGAACTTTCTGTCTGAATAGACAGCTTACAAAGGAAGCGTGAGATCAAAGTAGGCAGAGTCCTGCTGAGTCAGTAACCTGGTTTTTGTTTTAATTTGAGACTCTCGGTCTGTTTTTCAGATCACTTTTTACTTTTAAAAAGTTGTTGTAGTTACAGCTTAAGAAGCCAGTGGAACTATTGCATTCGTATTTGCTAGATTTGCAGAGATTCTTAAATTCCTCCATTTATCTTAACGCAGTATTAACAGTTTCTGTCCATGGATCATATTTTAAAATACCAAAATTTGTAATTGCACTAGTGTGGACAGTCTAAATATCTGAGGAAAGGAGGAGAACAACACCCAAAAGATGTCAGCAGTCTTTAAGTGACATATCAGTTTAGTGGCAGGAGTAACTCACTGTTGGGGGAACAACCACCCGTTCGCTCAAGTGGGATAGATGTTACCTCAGAGCTGAAGGACTCATTGGAAGGAGGTAGAGAACAGGTACCTGGGAAGTGGCATTTGAGGATGGAGGGCCACATTGGAAGAACTGGTAAAAGGTGGGAGTGATCTAGCGCTGGCCAGGTGGAAATGAGGATTGAAGTCAGGGGGTCTGCATGGATCTGACATCAGGGCAGCTCTGATGAAAGAACACAAACCAAACCTAAACAGGTATTAATAAACTGGTTTGGCTTCAGAGGAAAGTATGAGGAATAATGAAAAATGGGAGGATTTATGAACAAAGATTAAATGAGTTGCTTATGTTCACTTTAGCTAGGTAATGATTAAAGGGCACCTGATAACTGTCAGGCTATGGAAGAAAAAGGGAAATACTCTCTCTGAAGTCCACCACATGTGACACCAAGCGGGATGATTTTTGTTAGAACCATTTGTACCTATCTTCATAAAATGATCATCCCTCCTCTTGCATGCTTTGATGAGCAGTTAAAATAGCCATCAATTTAAATGACTGTAAGCACATTTTGAAATGAAGGAGGGCGCATCCCATCTGGCCTCAGTTTCAAGCAGACACTGCTAGGTGTTTTGTTGAATTTTGAGTCTTGTAGCTTTAAAGCATTTTAAACCAAAGCGCAGGATACAGCTATTCAGGTAAAGCTGGAAATTTCCAAACTGTTGCAGCCAGTCCTAATTCAGGACCTACAGCGCAAAACTTCTGGAAAGCAAAGCAGTAATAAAAGCACTGCTAAGGGCTTAAACTAGAAGCGTGTAAGTTCAGTTAAACACTGGTAAGAATTACTGGAAAAGAAGAATCTGTTGAACTGCTATATTAATTTTCAAAGGGAAACTAGAAAGCCCATCTTGAAGGTCACAGTGCTGGAAAACGTGCCATAGAAAACGCCACCCTGGTAAACTGAAGAGCAGATTTGAAAGCTTTCCTTGCTGGTGGTTCTTTTCCATCCTGTTTTTTGTCTTGTTTTGGGGTTTTTTTCCTCCGCATATGTGATTGTATTTTCATTCTCAGTTCTTCACATGGTGAAGAATCACATGTAATGTTCAAGCAGTTTAAAAATTCTGAGGCCCTCATTTAATGTGCAGTATAAACCTTTGTTACGCAGACCGTCTTCATTCTTTGTAAGAGTGTTCTGGGAGATGGGCTTTTTTTTGGTGTGTGTGATAAAGTGAGTATGTTTATAATGAGGTTTGGTGCTATTGTTATTCGAGATGAACTAGCCTGACAATGGAGAGCCCTGCTGTGAAGAGTGCATTGTATTCTTGCTCTGAGCAGTCTTCTCCAGCCCATTTCATCCTCTGCTGTATATAATTGCACATACTAGTAATTGGATAAAACCTAGTAGCCCCTTCCTCTTAAAAGGTACCACATTTAAAACTATTCACTTTCTTGCTTTGGATCTTATTTCATGATCAAGTATATTGACAGTAGTTTCAAACACCTGCTGGTAACTGTTGTTTGGGTGTTTTTGTGTGGGTTACATTGTCTCTCCCCCTTTTCGTTCCTCTCTTTCAGGAGAAATCCCAATGGTGAATTCGTCGGTTGGACCAAACTGCTGTACCTGTAATTGCCAGTCAACCCTACAGGCTATTCTTCAAGAGCTCAAGACCATGCGAAAATTGATGCAGATTCAGACAGGTACAGTGACCGTTCCCATACATGTGTATCCATGACAAGCATCTTCTAGTGAAAAGGAATGGTCTAGAAAGACTGAAATCTGTCTGGAGACTCAGGAAAACCTGGACTGTTTCCTGTTTACTTGACACATCATTCAAAGTCAAATTTTCACAGGCTTCTTGGAAATGTAATTTTTACTTCTCAAATCCTTACCTGGGACATGGCATATTATCTTGTAGGAATCTTTTAAGGCCCAATTAAAAAAAAAAAAAAGAAATCCAATGTGATTAGATATTCCAGTAATGGGAGCTGCATGGGTAGGTCAATATGCCATAACCACCCCCAGTTTGTTTTCACGGTATATTCATTCACAGGTGCAAAATGCTGCTTTTCCTGTTACCTGTTTACCAGTTCACTAATCTTCGGAGGAAAAACAAAATTTGGAAGGCCACTTAAAGTTATTGTATAACACTTCATTTGGAGATCTTTCAAGTTACAGCTCCGTGGTAGCCTAAACTGAGCTAGCCACTGCATGTTGTAGCCTCCACCCTTCTTCAGGCTGGTTTAGCAGTTCTTTCTGCTGGCTGAACCAGCAATAATCTGTTCACTGGGGAAAACTGTTAAGTCTAGTTTTTGCTAGGTTAGGAGCTGAAACAGAACAGCGTGGAGCCAGAAGCATCTCTTCATTGGGGAAAATTTTGAGTCGAGTTTTCTGCTTGGTTGGGAACTGAAACACAACAGTGCAGAGCCAGCAAGATAACAGGCCCATGACAGCTAGGAGTTAGGTGGGTGATCGCAGGCTGTCGTGAAGCTGCAGACTCTGTGCTTCCTAAAAATTAGTGTTAATACTAATGAGGAGTTGAAGACATCGGAGATTGTGTCATCAGTTGCCCATCCATCATGAGTGATGGGGAGCGGAGCCGTGGAGGTTCTTCTCTTAGAATAGCTGGATAAGACCTCTGTAAGAAAAGGGAGTGTTGAGTAATTAACTGAAATACGGGTGGAGTGAAGGGTTGACTAAACTCCTTGTCTCCACGGCGTATAATGCTTGAGTGAGCGACAGGAAGGATCAGACAGGTTTTGTAATATCAGCTGATACACATAAAAACGCCTCTCAAAAAGTCATCGAGTTACAGAGGAGCACGTGAAGCCTTGCTTTTAGAATCTTTGCTGGGGCAGGGGATCCTTTACGCAGTTGCACCAATTTTGTTGAAATTATGTGCGTGATTAAAATGGCTTGTGGGTGAGAGGTGCAGAGCTGGGGTTTATGCCGGAAGAGCTGGCTTCTCAGTAGCAGGAATATTTCTTATTTATTACGTATCTACAGTATAAGTACCTTGTTAATTAGTGAATCTCTTGATGTAAAGGCCTGGGAATAGTTTGTATTTTCTGGTAGGCATGAATTGATGGTTTTGCAGAGAAAAAAAATTATTTGGCATTTTTGTTGCTAAAAGAGAAAAACCCAAAATGCAAACATATAAGTGAAATTGTAATAACTTATTTTAGTATTCAAACATCCTCCTGTCTAAATGATAAACTACAAATTACAGTCTTCTAAATCCTTACCAAAAAATGAAATATCCCAGAAATCTTTTAATAAACAGTATTCTGAAGTTTGGTTTTTTCCCTCAAGCTTTGTAGATGTGGGTTATTTGTTGTTCACTCGTAGCTCAAAAGAGTTTGATTTGCACATGTGTCACTTTTAGCTTTTTTTGGTTTGACCTTGATCTTACAATTATATGTCTGGATGAATCAGTACCTGCATATCTTTCTGCTGGAGGACTCACATCGATACAGGTTTGGGATTGGTGCCTTGGTTTATACAAATGATTGTGGATACTGAAAAATGCAAAATATTGATAAATATAAAATATGGTCTCTTAGATTTCCGAGATAGCACATGAACTGTCTTTTTCTGTGTATGAGCAAAACAAAACCATGCAACTTTGGGTTACTTTTTTTTTTCAGAAATTAAACTATTGAATAATGTTTTCACTCATTCTTGGTATAATGGTACTTGAAATGTTTTTGCTGACCTAATTCACTTGGTGACTACCATAAAAATAACTGTAATTGCATTAGCACTTGTATTATCTTACTTTATCAGGAAAAGATGCTCAAGGATAATGAGCTTTGCAGTCATTCAAGAGGGTATACAAATTAATCGTTGCTAAACTCTTTCATGTCACCAACCATCCAGTGGTCACTTGGAAAGGGAGTCACGTATTCCTAATTTTCCTAAAACACTATTCATCCGTATGTCTTGAAAAACCTCATAGTGAAGCTCAGTGTCATTATCCCCATTGTACAGCTTGGAAAATTATGCAGAGGTCGTCAAATGTAACTGTTTCATATGCACAGACAGCCCTGAAAACCGTACCATTTATCCAGAAGATAAGTTCAGTATGTTGGTAGTTTAACGGTGCGTCGGGGTGGTTCTACATGTGCTTTTTCTGTAAATTTAAATCACTTTCTTTCATTCAGTTGGGACTCAAAACAGACAGCAGCCTCCCGTTCCTCTGATTTGCGCGCAAAAGTCAACAATATCAAGAAAGAGAAATAAAAAGAAAAAACTGCCCCTCAAAACTGTTGAACCAGTTACCATGAGTAAGAAACCCAACGCTGCAGAGAATGAAAAGAAGCTATCGGCAAACTCAGAACGATCAAGCCTGCAAGCAGCGGAACATCCGCTAAAAACAGAAACCCCTGTTTCGGGGTTTGGAATTATCCTTGAATCGGCTTCATCAGATGTAAGTTAATATTGTAATACCTGGGATCATCAGGAGAATCAATACTCGAGTCATCTTGAGTGTGTTCCCTCCTCGTTAGGATAAAGAAGCAAACCTTGAGTTGGGTTGAGTGGAGACGGTAATGTTAGACATGGGGTGTGGTAATTGCAACATTTTGTGGTTTTTCTTCAACTCAGAGCTGATTACAAAATTTTGGGGTGGGTTTTTTTTTTCCAACTTTCATGAGCATGTAGTTCTCTCCTTGAGTTCAAGGCTGCCCGTTGTTTGAGCTTGCGGTGGAAACTTGTTCTTCGTCTCTCCTGCTGCCAAGAGCCACCGGTGAAAAGCGCTGCAGTTATAAACCATTCACAGCCCTCCCATTTGTTGATAAACGCACATAGTCCACACGTATGTCCTGATCCTGCCAAGATGTATTTGTGTGCTGTGTTTCATGCCTGGCTGGTCCCACTGGCTGCAGGGGACTCCTCGCCTCTGTAAAGTTCATACCTTGGTCTTTGCTGAATGGGGTTGGTCTTCATCGCTGTGGTTGCTGGATGAGGGCCTCGATGCTGTTGACGATGTCAGTGCGACTGACGGGGCCAAAATTTGCCGCTCTACAAATACGTACTTTTCACATGTGAAATTGCAATAAGCTGATTTTCTTGATTCATGTAGTGCGTATGCATTGATAGAAATGTCATGTATCTGGTGGCTGATTGGCTTTGTTTAATGACCAAATAGATGTCATCTGAACCAGTTCACTGATGAGTAAGCTGATCATTAATTTCTCTAATATATTTTTAATTTTGAGCAGGCAGTTTCCAATTTCCTAAGTACTGTGAGCTAGAAAAACATAATTAAATTCAGTATCAATAAGCGTAAATGAAAACAATGCAGCAGATAATGTTCTACCTTTCTGGAAGTGGGAACTAATAATGAAAAAGAGCAGTCAGGATAATTCGGTTATATAGATGCAAGCCACACCACTAATTAGGTTGCAGTCTCATGCCATAGAGTCAGTGTAGTGATACCGAGTAACTAGTTTGATGCTTTTTCAGAGGTTTTCCTTTTGTAGTATTATGCTTAATTTTGTTTGAGGAAATGGTTTGGGGAGGGACTGGTAATTTATCTCCAATATATAATTTGTGCTTAGAATTTTTTTGTGCTTGTGGCATTCTTTTCAGCTTGAAACACTGTTTTGAAAACAGTTTTGTACCTGTGATGGAATTTAATTTGGCTTTATGAATGTGTTCCATCGCTGGACAGAATTCTTCGTAGGTGCCAATTTGACCTAAGAAAAAAAAGAAGGGAAAACATGTGGCTCATAAATCAGATCCTCATCTGCCCCACCCCCCCCCAATGCTTTGTCCCCCACTTGACACAGTAGTTGTTTGACTAAATTTACAGAGCCAGAACCCCAAGACAAATTAATTCTGTTTTGTCATTGGAAAGGAAACAGTTGAATTCTGAAAGTAGATATATTTAACAGCAAAAAATAAAATATGACCTTAAACATTTCGAGAAGGCTAAAGGAAGTCACTTCTTTCAGAATGAATGGCGGCATTATCTGTTTCTGTTTATTCATAAGTGTCTCTGGTGTGCCCACGACCAGCATGTCTGAGTGTCTGCAAAAACTGAAAGACATTTTTTCGCGGCACCATAAATGAATGTTCCCTTGAGAATATTGCACGGGTTGTCTGTAGCGTGTGCTGTGTCATGCGCCGGGACCGCCACCACTGCTATTTTGCCAACATTTATTGAACTTGAAGAAAAATCTCCGTTTAGTGTGTATAAAACTGGGGCTGCTGAAACCAGTGCAATTAGTTCACATTTGCTGGGATGAAATACTCCTCCTTACAGAGGTAAAAAAGGGTCTTGGTGACACCAGCTCCTAATCTGGCCCATGAATCAGAGAACCTACTTCTGGAATGTAATAATCTGTTACTCATAGTTAAACTTTCTTGTGGTTGTTTTACTGTTACAATATTTCATTTATAACCTGATCATTTCTAATCTACGGAGTGCAACCCACTAAAATGTCTAGGATTAAATCTAATTCGCTGCCTGTTAATTTTAGCACAGCAAAAACCTTTGGCATTCAGATCTTATTTATTTTACTGTACACTAATAGTTTACCCACCAGTTCCTTAAGTCATGATCATTATCTACTAACAAATGCTTTTCCTTTTGAGAAATCGCATTCAAAGTGATCATAAAGTTCAATTAGGTACTGATTGTCTTTGATGGAAGAATAGCTTGCTGCTGAAGGAAAACAAGAATAAATCAGCGTTTTGCCTTCAAATTATTTTGCTGATATACAAATTTATTCCTGTATTAACAATAAAATAGCTCAAACAAAAATAATATTGACTCCTGTGTGCTGGTGGCACTGGTGAGGTTTCAAATGTATTTTACAGCTGTATTAGCCAGGATGATTTGTCTGCCCTAGGCGTCTTGTGTCATCGAGGTCATCTTAGATTGCTGTCGTAAGACCCAAAACCCAAGTAACAGAATAGGACAGGATACCTTCATCACCATGACGACTGCATTCTGCTTTTTGATTAACATGAAGTAGAACTTTTCCCAAGTTGTAAACTTGGGCCACGTTTATTTACACTTGAAAATCTTTTCTGTCACCAGAAAGTTTAGAAGTAACATATTAAAAACCCACCTACATCAGAAAATTGTCAAATGTCAAATAGAGTAGCTCTGACTGTTTTGCTGGATCCAGCACTTTGAAAGCTTTCAAGGTGAAAAACATTTTTTCACCCAGAACAAGCTGAGAAACTTATGTGCTTTTTAGATTTTATTCTTTTTAAATTACTATCTGCATATTTTAAGATCCTTTGTCCTGGCTTCCCAAAGCATTGTAATCGTCAGTTCGATCTCACAGTACACATGCATATCCAATGATAGTATATGCTTTGAAAATATTCTGCTTGCTGTGAACTCTCTTGATATTGATTTTTAAAAAAATCCATGGGAAAAGAGTTACACAGCCAAATCCTTCTGAGATTGGCAGCCCTTTCTTCTGTCTAGACTCAAGACGTTTGCAGGTGATGGCATTTGCTCTCGCTCTGTAAACAGATTTGAAAACACACCATCACTGGTGGGTGTATTTTCAGACAGAGGGAAAAAAAGAGAAAGTTGTTAGGAGCAAGGCTGTAATGCTTATCTTCTCACATCATGACCACTGATTTTTTTCCCTCCTTGCCAACTTCCAGATAATATCTTACAAAATTTAGTTCATACATGATGTGTCTTCACAGATATATAACTATTCCATACAGACATCTTGCATAAGCATCCTGTGGTAGTCCTAGAAAAAACACTGTAAATATTGTTTGTGTAATTTTTGAGATGTACAGATAGGGGCAGCAAAAAGACTCTTAGTAAGGGGACTTCCCTGGAGGCCTTTGTTTGCTTTGGCCCACGATGTACTTGAGACAAGACTCTTGTGAAATACTGATCCCCCTTCTTCCCCTCTGTCTTGCTTTCTGGTAGTCACATAAATCCCTGTGATTTACCATGGAGGTTTTTTGTGCTGAAACAAGCTGTCTATCTAGCATCATCCTCTTCTAAGGATGCACTTTGGGAATATGAAAAAGAGGGAGAAATGGATGATCAGCAAGCACTGGTCCAAGGGCAACCTCAAGCTCATCATCTACTTTACTATTGTGGGCCGTATCACCACTGGAATCCCTCTTGGGAAACCACTTGGAATGGGCCGGTAGCCCTGCATTTGTGCTTCTTGGAAATGCCTGGCTGCCCCACAGCGTGCACACCCCCTGCCAGTGAAACAAGTCCACAGAGTGGTTAGATAAGTGTCCGAAAACCACTGCACAGGAGTATTGCTCTGAGATGATCCTCTGGTTTGTCATTATTAGCCAATACTGAAAGGTAGCTCTTTTCTTTTTGTTAGCTATATGCCTAGAAATAATGTCAGTAATGGTTAACTATTACAGTGGCGAGACATGAGTATGATTATTTGATTTGCCTTTCAAGGTGCTTATTCACAGATGGGGTTTGATTTCAGTGAAGTAGGCTGCTGTGGTACCGAATAGCTGGGAAAAAGAGTCCTGGTTTGATTAGGTGATTGTAAAGTCTCACTAGACGTATGATTGAAGTAAAATAATGTCTTTGAATGCTCGTTCAATTAAAACATTTGTATTCTTTTGGTAGCCAGAAGTACAACTTGCAGAAGGCTTTGACGTCTTCATGCCGAAGTCTCAGCTGGACTCTATATTGTCGAACTATACTCGCTCAGGAAGTCTGCTCTTTAGGAAGCTGGTCTGTGCATTTTTTGATGACAAGACTTTGGCTAACTCTTTACCAAACGGCAAGAGGAAAAGAGGGCTCAATGACAACCGGAAAGGACTAGACCAAAATATTGTGGGTGCAATAAAAGGTATGTTTTTGCTTTTTCATGTGTGTAATTAGAACATATTCTCAGCTACAGAGAGTGTAAGGGGATTAGAATTTCTGACGTGTGTTAGACCTATTAAAATATGCAGTCTTATTTTTATTCCCTTTCATTCACATGTTAAAAATAGCTTCTACAGGGACAGCTTGTGTTAATTTTAAGCAAATGATCCTGGTTTCTGAAGTCAGGCTCTTAAGGTTAGAATCTCAGTGTTCGTATAAGATAGTTCTTTTCCTGGATATCAGAGATGCAAAGGTGTCTTGAAAACATAATGACAGCATAACTGATCCTCTTCAACCAAAATTCTGAGGCTTGCACTACAGCTGACTGTGTCTGCTCTGAATAGTCTAGTAGTTGGTGGCTGGATTGAGGAGAGATGGAGGAAGATAGTACTGAGATGAGTGTGATGTCCATGAGAACTGTGGTGGTCCTTCTCTTACACAAGCAGATTTCTTAGTCCGTGTGAGGATCCTGTGCTGGGTGGTTTTTCTTAGCCATCACGCTTTCCAGCTTCCAGAAGAACATGTGTACCTCCAAACTCGGTGATCACAACATATGAAGAGCTAGTGTTAGGTCAGAGATTCTGAACTGGATTCTATTATTTTGAAAGCTGACGTAGTAAGGGAAGTACCCAAGTTACCAAAAGACGGGCTGTGTTGCAAAACAGAGCTTATTTTAGAGGCTGTGACTCATCCTGAGGTACATATTGCTAACCTAGGAGACATAAGGCAATGAGAAGAGCTTCTGTAAGTACAGTAGCAGCAAAAGGAGGCAAGGGAACCTTTTACAACCACCACTGTGTCCACTTTTGGCTCCTTCTCCCCATGCAAGAAAGACATTGACATACTGGAGTAAGTCCAGCGCAGGGCCACCGAGACTTACGGTACTGAAGCAGGTAAGTGGTGAAGAATGTATGTGAAGTGATGTATGAGGAGAGGCTGAGAGAACTGGAGAGAAGAAAATTCAGGATTCCTTATTGCTGTCCACGCCTGCCTAATGGGGTGGTGTAGAGAAGATGGAGTCAGACTCTTTGTGGAGACACAAGAGGCATCTGACACATGGAAAATTCCAATGTGATAGAAGGAAAAGCTTTTTCAACATAAGGGTGGTCGAACCGTGGAACAGGGGCTTAGAGGGGCTGCAGGTTCTCCATCCCTGGAAATATTCAAAGCTTAACTGGTCACAGTCCAGAACATCATGATCTAGTTGTCCATGCTTTGAGCAGCAGCCTGGAAAATTGAGACCTCCAGAGGACCCTCTCAACCTGTGCGATTCTGCGATAAAGTGTATGTTGTGCCTATGTCATAGTCTTAATACCTCTTACAGATTTTCTGGCAGACTTTCTTACAATTACAGTTATAATTAAGTTTCAGTCAAAACCACTTTTTTATACCTTCTTTTCTTGAGCGCAATAATCTGCAAAAACCCAAAGTTGAATTCACTCCATCTGTATCTCATTATTCCTTAAAAGCTTTAATAAATAAGTTAAATGGAAGAAAAAAGTAGTTCAAAATTACTTTTAAATAAACCACACTCTAATTTGAGCAGCACTATGATAAAAGAAATGTTTTCCAGTAGATGCAGCAGCACTATTAAAACAGCAATCTTCCTCAGTAGCCAAGCTCGTATTACTGGAGCAAATTCTGAGGCTTGGTTTAACCTCTTCCCTTGAGTTTGGAAGAAGAAAGGGGGGAGTTGTGGTTCCAACAGAAAAATTTCATCTGTGATGGTACTACTAGGTACCACTGTAATAACAGTGATCTTTATTGGCCTTTACAGTAATGCCCAAATGCTAGTTCCTGATCCCTGATAGGGGAGTCCGTCCCTAAAAGCTGTGATGGAGTAAGATGCCAAGGCCTGACGTCCTGTGGATCATTACTCAGCCTGGCTCCAATAGCACCCTTTTTCCCTCCAGAGAGCTGGGCTATGACACTGTGGTTTCATTTATTCCACAAAATAACTGAGCCAGTATGAAACCTCCGCAAGAACAACATCATGTTGTTTGCATTATTATCGTTAGGACATTCCTCCACCACGTGCCCAGATACCCCTTAGTGGCATTTTTAGTCCTTCTCCATGACAGAGATACAAAAGTGGAGAAAAGGCTACATTCATCACAAAAACGAGCAGAGAACTTAAAGGAAGGACTGTTTGCTTGAAAATCACTCTTCCTGTCTGAAAACATTTTAACTGCCATCCTTACAAGTAATTTAATGCTTCTACAACAGGATGATTAGCCGGGGAGGAATTCTTTCTTTTGACTTTGTGTATTCAGTGGCACTTGTTGAATCAGTTGCAGTGTTTCTCCTGGGCAATCAGTTTCCCTTGTGAGTCGCATCAATCTTGCACTCAAAACTGGGGGAAAAAAAATTTAAAAAGAGATCAGAAGTGGTTATTTTCCCTTTATGTTGTTGAATAGAAATCCAGGCAGTGAAGTCCTTCCCTGCAGAAGTCCATGAACTGTGTTCAGATGTATGTGTTCACAGTTACTGGTGGATGAAAAGCTGGACATGAGCCGGCAGTGTGCGCTGGCAGCCCAGAAAGCCAACCGTATCCTGGGCTGTATCCAGAGAAGTGTGGCCAGCAGGTCGAGGGAGGGGATTCTCCCCCTCTACTCTGCTCTCCTGAGACCCCACCTGGAGTGCTGCATCCAGCTGTGGAGCCCTCAACATCAGAAGGATATAGACTGGTTGGAGCGAGTCCAGAGGAGGCCACGAAGATGCTCCAAGGGCTGGAGCCCCTCTGCTATGGGGACAGGCTGAGAGAGTTGGGCTTGTTCAGCCTGGAGAAGAGAAGGCTCCGGGGAGACCTTATAGCACCTTCCAGTACCTGAAGGGGCTACAAGGAAGCTGGGGTGGACTTTTCCCAAGGGTCTGTAGTGACAGGACAGGGGGTAATGGGTTTAAATTGAAAATGGGGAGGGTTAGATTGGATATCAGGAAGAAGTTCTTCCCGGAGAGGGGGGTGAGGCACTGGAACAGGTTGCCCCGAGAAGCTGTGGATGCCCCATCCCTGGAAGGGTCCAAGGCCAGGCTGGATGAGGCTTGGAGCAACCTGGTCTAGTGGAAGGTGTCCCTGCCCATGGCAGGGGGGTTGGAACTGGATGATCTTTAAGGTCCCTTCCAACACAAACCATTCTGTGGTTCTATAATATAGAGGGTTGTTAGCACAACACAGCTCAGGTGGACTAGAAAGGGGGGGTCCCATTTCTTCTGCCTCCTTCCTATTACATTCCCATTCTTTTTTGCCCATGTTGGTGTTTCCCTAACCACACATTGAGCAATCAAACCTATTTTGACTTTCATTCAAGAGAGCATGCAGGTTAAGAGAAGAGAAGCAAGTTAACATATTGGCTCTCCAAGGCTGCTGGACTCTGCTTCCTGTGCAGGCAACTGCGGGCAGTATTCCTGCTTCCCACCGTGGGCTCCTTCAGTGGATGACCTGAGTACAGCCTGGTGTCACAGATTATCCCCCATCCCTGGTCACAAGCAGGAACTGCACTTGAGTGTTTGAAGTAAGCAGGAGTCTTAAGTGATTGATCAGGTTCCCATTGTGTCAGGTTCTGTATGGATTCAGAAGGGAAAGATTATTTCTACCCTCAGCATTGTTGCAAACTGGACACTGGCAATGTGCGGGACTGTGTTGGCTTCTCTGGGCAGCCCTCAGAGCTGCTCTGACATCCGTGCTGATCAGATTACAGAGGAAAGGATTGCTCATGTCTTTCATGCAGTGGTTTTGTCAAGTTGTTAGCATGGAAAGAGTTTGAAGGGTGTGATTACTTTTGGTCCCTTTAAACTTACTGTTTCAAAAGCTTGTGCATAAAAATACTGAAATTGTCATTTTTTTGTTGCACGCTTCCCCATCCCATTCGTGTGACATTTATTCTCAAGGATTACAGATTCATTGAGCTGGGACTAGATTTCTTCCCTTGTTTGCCAGTCATATCAGACACTGGGCTCTGAGACCTCTGACCAAGATTACAATGGCAACACTAACAGGAGTAGTATTTTTTCTGTTTCCACTCTGGTTTAGTATTTTGCACATCTCTCAGTTGTGTGCAATTCCATCAGTTTCACTCCATTTATAGTTCTGTAGTGTGGTATAACACTGCTAGGTTTGCTGTAAAAAGGGAGTTAAAGATAATGTCGACCCTGTATGTACGATTTTTACGGAATGTAAAATGGGCCTGTAGGATACTTCTCTTTTTTTTTTCTCAAGAATGGTTTATTTTTTTAGTAACTTTATAAAAATTCTATTCCATCTGGTTTGGCGGTATAAGAACCGTAGAGATTTGGACTTCTGTCTTTCATCAGTTTGCCTGCAGCCTTAGAAACCTGAACAAGAGGCCACCAAATGACCAGATCTGCAGCTCTCTACTTGTACCGTAGAGAAGGCAGCATTTATACCTGCCTGACACATCTGGAGACTCAGTTCAAGGCACAGTACTAATATTCTGTGATGGTTTCGTGTGACATTCATGAATGGAAGTTGTCAGGTGTAGACTGTTTCTCTGGGATAGGCTTTTGTAAGTAGTAACTGTGGTATTACTGTGATATTTATACACACAAATGACTTCTGAATGATAAACTTGTGAAACACTGAGTTGGGCTCTGTTCTCACAATCCTAGATTTGGCCATTTAAATGATTTTTGATAAGTGGATAATTGGGTATATTTCATTTATAATCCTCTCCAGTCTCCTTTTCTCCCTTCTGGTGGCACATTTCAAAAAGATGGTATCTTTTTATTTCAGTCTTTACAGAAAAATACTGCACTGCTAACCACGTGGATAAACTTCCCGGTCCTAGGGACTGGGTCCAGATTCTTCAGGATCAAATTAAACTGGCAAGAAGACGATTAAAAAGAGGCTCAGGTATGTATAAAAATGCAAGGAACAACTTGTGAGTTCAAGATTAAAAGTTTAGAGCTTTTGTATCCGCAGAAGAGTTTTTGACTGTAGAGCTGTACATGTTCACTCAATGAAAATCAGTCCTCTAAGATTTTAGCAGGTTTCTGTGTCAAGTACAGGGTTTCCTTATGTTTGGTATGGCAGCAAGTTTAGGAGCTGTCTTTGCAGCCAAGTTAACGTTGAGTTTTTCCCAAATGTTGTCTCCAACCCCTTTCCATTAGCACCCAAACTCTTCTTCCCACTCTTTGTTGAACTCTGAGTCCTAAACTAGCTGATCCACCCAGGGTTGCAAGTAGATATTTCTAAATTCTGTGTTATTTGGTCTGACAAGCCACTCACTGTACTGTTAAGACATCACTCACATGACCTTTCCCTCTAAACTATATGTGTCCGGAAGGATAGATGAGTTCTTTCACATTCCTTGTGAAAGAATCAGCATCTCTGTAGCAAAAAAACCCACCCACCCTGATTGTGCCAGCGAGGTTGTGCAGTACCTGTGGGTAACAGGTAATGCGAGTTGAGGTTTGCAGCAAAGCTGCTCAACTTGGGCTGGGCTAACCTGCGTGCTTGGGGTGGGCACTCGGCTTTCGCCCCGACAGCGTGCAGCTGGTGAGCTCTCGGCTCCGGCAGCAAACAGCAAGGTGCAGTCTTGAAATCCCTGGTTCGTGGGAAAAGCAGTGTCACTGATTAAGAGACCTGTAATTACTTTATAAACCTTAACTAGTCTCCTTCTTGTCTTCATGCCTCCTATCCTACAAGGGGCTTTCTTCATGCAAGACTTCACTTTCTCTCCCTCATCCTCGTGTTTTCTTAAGGCTCTCTTGTGGTCGTATTGCTCGTCCATCTCTCCCTTGGAGCATCTGACACCGTTGCCTGAGGCACATCACTTGTGCCAACCTCCTTAAACACAGTCCTTCACTCTTACTGTGTTTAGCTGCGTGACTTTTTCCCTCTTCCCTTCCGCCCATCACCACAATTCAGTGCCTGTTAGCATCTGCGGGTTGATGGGGATGGGAAACCTGATGGCTCTGCAGGGGTTGCTGGTGGTCCCCGTGGCTATGGGGGTTCAGTGAGACCACAGGAAATGCCCTCTCCGGCTCCCAGTCTCAGAGAGACTGTTTTCTGTCCAGAGCCATATCTCTGAAACACACACACTGGCATCTGAAATCATTCTCCGCAATGTTATTAATTCCAGGAGGGAAAAGCGTAAGACTGAAGAAAATGAGAAACACCCAGAGACAGAAATAACACGGGAACGAAGGAAGTGCAGATTATTCGGTAGCATAAGCTTCCTTGAGAGAAGCAAACCAGTACTAGCCTTAAAAAGGGTTTCTTGTGCCTGTTGGGGGAAGGAGGAGGGAGGGATACAACATAATCTGGTTAAAGACAGTGTCAGATTACTGGTGTTGTACAACAGGACTGCCTTCTGCCCCTTCCAAGGCTGCCTGTCCCGTCTCTGGACAGGAGGGTGGAAGTGGGATGCCAGGCTTCGATGAGGTGAAGAGTGCAGTACAGGATGTGGGGAGCAGACGGTCCTTGGGCTGGCTATGGAAGATCCCTCGGGAAAGATGATTGATCTAATTCTGGGTTTATTTTTATTTTCCTTCATCCTTTTTTATTTGCTTTTCTTCGTGCCTCTGCAGGGTATTAATTAAAATGACGATGTTCAGGATTTGACTTCCACGTGGGACCACCTCCGTCTCTGGTCCCTTCTCAGGGTGGGAGAATCTAAGCAGAGGATATTGGCTCTAAGCTAGCAAGGCTGTGAAGGAAAATAAGTGAAGCTGAGTAGAGTGTGAGTGAATAGGACAAGGGGTAATGGGTATAAATTGAGATCAGGGAGGTTTAGATTAGATACCAGGAAGAAATTCTTCACAGAGAGGGTGGTGAGGCACTGGAACACGTTGCCCAGAGATGTTGTGGATGCCCCATCCCTGGATGTCTTCAAGGCCAGGCTGGATGAGGCTTTGAGCAACCTGGTCTAGTGGAAGGTGTCCCTGCCCATGGCAGGGGGGTTGGAACTGGATGATCTTTAAGGTCCCTTCCAACCCAAACTGTTCTGTGATTCTATGATTCTATTGAATAAGATAGGCTCCAATCCTGGTCTGCCTGCAGAGGGAAAGTAACTCCTTACTCCTTATGTGGAAGGGTATTGAGCAGCAATATACCTAGCAGCCCTTCAGGTTTATTCACTGGAATAAAAACGTAACTGGATTGCTAGAAAGGCTGCTTTTGGTGAGTTTTAGTTTACTGACCATTCCCTGAACCGCACTGGCTTCTCTCTTACGAGGCCACAGGCAGATGTGCTCTTTTTGATCTAGCAGGGCTGATGGAACACACCGCTGTGGCCATCTGCACCTTACCATCCACCTCCAGCTCCACTGGTGGCTGAAGCTAACCCAGCCTGACCTTGTACTGGAGCAAACAAGGAGTTTCCACAGCCTTTCTGGCAGCAAAGCAGCAGATAGCTGCAGAGGAGCAGAGGCAGACAGCTGCTTGCAGTAACATCTTCATCTTGTTCAAATAAGATTTGTCAGTACTTGTGCAGTACAACCATGAGCTTCTGATAGGAGGGACATAGAGCTGATCAGGTGCCATCCAGTCCCAGATTTTGTTTCCAGTGGTGGCTGGGGAGGTCCGTAAGACTGGGGGAAGGATGTTGCGAAGCTTGCTGGGCACAGTCTCTCAGCCCTCAGCAGATTTATCCTCATATAAAACTGCTTGTATGGGAACAGTGCGTGTTTTAACTATTCATTGTGAATCCGTACCAAAATTGTTACAGCCGTGTGTAACAAAACAGGAGAGGAGAGCAGGCATGGAGAGAGGTTTTTCTGCTGTGGGGAGAAGGTGAAGAAAGGCTGAGAGAATTGGGCCTGCTCAGCCTGGAGAAGGCTCCGGGGAGACCTTATAGCACCTTCCAGTACCTGAAGGGGCTACAAGGAAGCTGGAGGGGACTTTTTACAAGGGCCTGTAGTGACAGGACAAGGGGTAACGGGTTTAAATTGAAAGTGGGGAGGTTTAGATTAGATATCAGGAAGAAGTACTTCACAGAAAGGGTGTTGAGGCACTGGGACAGGTTGCCCAGAGAAGCTGTGGATGCCCCATCCCTGGAAGTGTTCAAGGCCAGGCTGGATGAGGCTTGGAGCAACCTGGTCTAGTGGAAGGGGTCCCTGCCCACGGCAGGGGGGTTGGAACTGAATGATCTTTAAGGTCCCTTCCAACCCAAACCATTCCGTGATTCTGTGAAGGTGTCCCAGAACTCCATGTTGCTGGGACAACAGGAAAAAAAACCTCTTCGCTTTTAAGAATCTGAACACTACGGGAATAGCAGCCACTGAGATGTGGGACTGATCACTCTTCCAGCTGAGCTCTTGAGCTCTTCCAGTCCACGTGTTGCTGGTGGAACAGAGGCGGAGCCATTCTGAGCAAATGTCCGTATTCCCAGCTCATTCTCTTTTAGTTTTGTCTCCACTTGCATGCCGGCTGAGTTGGTGGGTATAGATGAAGGTGCCCAAAGCTAAATTCACCCAAGACTTTCTGAGCCAAGGTGTCTCGTGCTGCCTGATCGCACTGGTTTATCTACAGCAGTTTCTGGTTTGTTGCAATGCGCAGGCTTTATATGGAAAAAGCTTAGGATGATCCATGTATTTTACAGAAGCCACAAGACAACTTTTTAGTCACCACTGAGATGGGCTAAATTTTAACAGCAGAAGTATTTAAGAGAGGAGGGACAGGCTTTCCATCCTGCTTGCCTTCCCCTGAGCCACTTAGTACATCCCCTGATGTTTGTTTTGTTTCAAACCAGGCAGTAAGACACAGCATTCACAAGCAGCCCTCCCCGCTTTATCCTGTGAAACATTATTTCAGTCTGGTAGCATAAATCCTGCTCTAGCTTTCAGTGGTATTAATAATTTCAGAGAATTCTAGCAAATGAGTGGGGTGGATCTGCTTTTCGTACCTCGTTCTGTAGGGCGTACTTTCCTGAGTGTTTCCAAATTAAATGAAATCATGATCACTGGATCATAGAGGCTGCCCAGCTTCAATATTATTTATCATGTTTGGCTCATCTCCTAGAATTAGGGACGGAAAAGCTCCCTACTTGAAAAGCTAATCAAAAAAACACTTAAAAATTCTGCTTTCTAGAAAATAGTTCCCTTGTGTAGATTTTGAAGGGTTGTTATCCTAAGCCAAATAAAAATTCATTTAAGTTCTGAATCAGTGACAATATTTTTCGTAGCTGGAAATATTTTTTTTTACTTGATTTATTTTGGTTTAGCTTTTGCTTAGTTCTTTTAGATTATTGCCTGAGATCTGAGACTTGGGTAGGGTTTTTTTTTATTTGTTAGATCTGAGAATAAAGCTGTCAGTGCCATTAAATTTTTATTTGCCTTGTTCAGTCTTTTCAAAATTTCACACGTTGGCTGTCACAGAGGAGAGAAGAGACTGTGAGGTTAATGTTACAAACAGATGTTATAATTAAAATTAAAGAGTATGGTAATATTCTTCAGCCTTGACTACTGGTCCCATTTCAAGCCAACAGCACAGCATACTGGGCCACAGCTTCGTAGTGCCAGATCTGTCTTCTCCCAGCAGAGAGGCTGAACCCTTTATGGCTGATGGGATGCAAAGTGGCCCTGGAAGGGAAGAAGTCAAAGGAAAAGGCACGTGCGTAGGTTTCCTCTCTTCAAGCAGCATGAGTTACAATGCAAATTGCCTTGTAATTCAGGGCGGGTTTCCCGCTGCTTGGTCTTTTCACCCTGCAAAAGAGAATATAGGTAGGTGGCCGGTGGCCTTGCCAGTGGCAGCAGAGAGGGAGACAGTCGACCATTAGCACGGAGATCTTAAAAGGAGTACAATCAGAAGGAACTGACTCGCTGCTCCTGTCACCTCTGCGCCAGGCGTAGCATCCAAGCCTTTTGATTACTAAACTCTCCATCCAGTAATAAGCAGTAGGTCAGGGGCCACCCATCTCTCACAGTAAGTTCTTCCTCCCTTTTTATGTTTTGAAGAGCCTATACGCCATTATTCTGCAGCGGCTGTCCCCTGCCTAGACAGGAAAGCTGATACATATGAGTAACACTCCCGAAGGACGCGGGGTGAGAGCTGTTCACGCAAAGTGATTACCTTGTGTGTAACCTGGAAGTTTTTGATTGCCCTGCTCCATAACGGAAAATACAGCGGTGGTAGAAAACGTGCTGAATTTTTTCAGGCAGGATTAATGTGAATAAATTACATGCCGTGATGCTTCATCCTTGAACTGTTGTTTAAAGTTAACATTACCTTGTTGCGATGTAAAATAGTGGGAGCGAAGAAGAATGCTTAGCTTTTTCTTGGAAATTCGCCTTTTTTCCCATGTCCTTGTTCAAACTGCTGCTTCCATTGTTTCGTATCAGAGTTTTTTTGCTATTTCCCTGCATCCTTCCAATTTGCCTGGTTTATGTTTTTGTTACAACATCTACGTGTTGCAAGAGAGCAGGTTGATTTTTTGCTCAGCAATACACACGGGGCCAGAAAGGATGTAGGATGCAGGTCCAGGATGCGGTACAGTGCTTTTGTGGCCAGGATCTTAGATAAAGATGGCCATATTTAAATGAGTAACTGCTGCCTTCATCTTCCCAGCCCTGGGCATACACCTACATCTGTCCAAAGAGCAAACCAGCAGACACACTCTTCACAGACAGAAGCTTCTTAGCTTCTTCTACATCAGAAGCTAAGCAGTCTTTTTTGGGGATGGGGGGAAATAACCTAAGGAAATGACTACCAAGATTGTTGTGCAAGAGCTACTGAGCTCTGTCGAAGCAAAGGACAGAATAGGTGCTGAGTTCTCACAGTAGGATCTACTCCTGCTTGCCTTGTCTTGCAAGCTGGCTCAAGACAAGTAAAGTTTGGCTGGCAGCCTCTGGGTGTGGTTGTTGAAGGCAAACCTTCTTTTCTGCATGGAATGACATGTGAGGAGCTAGTGGTTTAGGTCTATGTTAGCAGGTCGAGCTGTTTGTCATCCCCTTGTGGCATATTTCACCTGGAGCTGCGGTTACACCTCCAGTTTCATAAACCAACTTCAGACTGAGAAAAGTGAGTAGGCTCCCCGGGCATCTGCTGTGCTCCCACTCCCTTTCTGGCGCTGGCATAAGCATTCATGTGGCAGTGTTGTCAGTTTTTAACTAGATTTGATCTTGATGACCATATAAACGTTTGTGGTGGCATGAGGAATGGGACTGGGGTGAGTTGGACTAGACCAGTTGGAGCGAGTCCAGAGAAGGCCACAAAGATGCTCCGAGGGCTGGAGCCCCTCTGCTATGGGGACAGGCTGAGAGAGTTGGGCTTGTTCAGCCTGGAGAAGAGAAGGCTCCGAGGAGACCTTATTGCACCTTCCCGTACCTGAAGGGGCTACAAGGAAGCTGGGGGGGACTTTTTACAAGGGCCTGTAGTGACAGGACAAGGGGTAATGGGTTTAAATTGAAAGGGGGGAGGTTTAGATTAGATATCAGGAAAAAATTCTTCACAGAGAGGGTGGGGAGGCACTGGAACAGGTTGCCCAGAGAAACTGTGGATGCCCCATCCCTGGAAGTGTTCAAGGCCAGGCTGGATGAGGCTTGGAGCAACCTGGTCTAGTGGAAGGTGTCCCTGCCCATGGCAGGGGGGGTGGAACTGGATGGGCTTTAAGGTCCCTTCCACCCCAAACCATTCCATGATTCTATGATTCTATGACTGGAACAAGTGGTGGGGAGCTGGACCTAATCTATCAGTCTTGTGCCAAATTACAGTGACCAGCTAACTTTGTTAGCAGCACAGCTGGATGTTCAAGTCTTTATCTTCTGAAAGCGAGGTAATTCCTAGCTGCCATTTGTTTCTCTCTGCATTACTGCCTTCCTCTGGGTTCAGTTGTACCCCGGTGTGAGAAGAGCAGTTAGGCAGGTAACTGCATCTCTTTAAGAGTCACTGCTGAGCTTTCCAGAAAACCTGTCACTTGAGTGGACAGCCCACTTGTCACCCACCTGGGTGTTGAGAGAGGCCAGACTTTCCAGACCAGTGCCAGTACTCAGATCTAGCTTCTCTCGTTTCATAGCTTGGGTCCCTCCAACCCCAGGGGCCAGTTACAGCTTTGTCGCCCGCAGGCTGAGTGGCTGTGCCGCAGAATCACCTGGTGCAGGCAGTTCTTCGTAACATAGGTGGAAGTTGGCCTCAGACTGTCACTCCTGATGTTTTAAGCCCTGTCTATCCTGTTGGCTGTTTCTCAACTGTTCGTTTCACCGTGCTGTCTCCTCCTTTGTGCGTCCAGTCCTTCCATCCCTGTGATTCAAACCAGCCTAGGTAACCTCTTCTCATTTGTTAAGCCCCCTGTTCCTTCCAAAACGTAAGATTTTTGCAGTAAGCTGTACAAAAACACTTAATTTGTTTCAGCCCAGTGTGCCACCTTCTCACAGAAAGTGGGAAAAGGTATCCATTCAAGGCACAGTCAGAGTAACTTGCCGGTCCATGCCGTGTAGTTGTCAGGGCTCTCCATTTAAAGCTTCTGTGGGAAGAAGGCTGCTGACTACCAGGGTTTTTAGTTTGTGTCTGTTTTCTTTAGTTCAGGTAATTCTGAAGAACTGAGTAGAGACCATAGAGCTAAAAACAAAACTGACATCCATCCATGTGGGAGAGAGCAGCCTTTTGGTCCGTGGGTGGGATAGCCAGGGGTTGCTGGAAGGAAGGAAACTAATGTAGATCAGCAGCTGGGTTAGTTCTTCTTAAGATACCCTCACAGAGGCAACAACTCGGTGTCCTCGTGTACAGAGCCACGATAAAGATGACCAAGACAGTTTAGTCTCAAGTGGGAGCTGAACTGAGTTGCTCAGCATCAGGGCTTGTGTAGGTTAGGCACCGATTTCCTGTCACACACCTATAACTTCCTTGGGATTCACATGCACACTCCAGGGTACTACAGTCTGACAAGTCGCTGCACATCTGCTGAGCCAAATTAGCTATCTTTACGCATACCCTTGGCCTGTGGCAAGTACGGGATGAACAAATTAGGCTTTTAGCCTTCCTTCACCCTGGGCTAAATGAAGTTAAATGATCTTGCATAAGCCGTGGGTTGAAAGCACGTGTGTATACATACACCGTAATTGCCTGCGTACCTGAGGGGTGACGTGCTTTTTTTAATGACGCTGCCCACCCACATCGTTAAAACGTTTTGCCCTAGTAAATCTGTCCCCGCAAAAACGAGTTTGCCTGTGGTCACGGGGAGTTTGGGTGCAGAAACAGGGGTGTGCGCCCTTTCCCTGTAGGCGTCGGATGATGGCAGCTGTTGGAGGGTGGAGTAACAGGCTGAGAGGCTCTTCCTCCAGGACTTTGCTTCCATGATTTTATCAAACGATCACCACTCCTTTTATCATCTGGATATCCTGGAACCTTAAAAAGAGCAAGTGCCATCCCATTGCTGGCACGACTGCTTCCTAATACCCAACTCCCTCTTCCAAGTTCACATTTTTATTATATGACCTTTTCCTCCAAGCACTGAGTTTTTAACAGAGCAATAGCAAATTGCAGCTGAGGAAAGTAGATAGAAAATGCGAAATCACTCTACAGTAGCTTTTTAATCGCATTCCCGTATCCGGTAAAAGTAATGAGATTTCTTGTTTATATTTGTAATCAGCAGAGGCAACTGACTGTGATGAGAAGCCGGACATTTCTCTGCTACAAACAGGTAAAATGCATTACAATTTTTATCAGCTTCCAATGCGTATTTGTTTATTTATGGCACAGAAGCAGTTTTCAATAACCCTGGCGTGCCATATACAGTCAGGTAATTGCACCCAGGACCCAGCTATCTTAAGTTTTGAATAGCCTGCATTAAAAAACAAAATGCGTCAGGATCTTACAATTTCCCCCTCTATTTCATATTCATAAACCCTCAAGGTTCATGGTAGCAGCTAAGCTAATAAGGCCAGTGAGTTACCCTTCTTACACCAGACAGGGGCTTGCGCTCATCCCTGGTATTTCTGGGAGTTTTTTTTTAATTCTGGATGGACTTCTTGGGAGGGACAAACACGATAATTTGTATCGTAGCATCTCTTCAGTTGTCCAAGGCATTAGCAATAATATCTTGAGTTCACAGAAGGATTGCAGAGATATTTATATGCTAGTTAAGTGTTGGTTTACTTTCTCTTCAAGTGCAGCCACCCTGCCTGAAAAGCCTGACAGTTGCTAAACAGCAGCTTAGCTGTGCAGCTGTGTGGACTAGGAAATGTGATTTTTGCATGCTGTTGCATGGGGTGTTGAAATACAGACAGGCTGAGGCTGAAATTTGGATCACCCTCTCATTCGGAGTCATCAATAGGTGCCCTGGTGTTAGGAACTGAGCTGCCGTCCCCTGAAAATCCAGTGGGGCCAGAGTATGGGGAGATGGTAACTTCCCTACGTTACAGAGTCTTCCCTGTAATTTCGCCAAGACGCTGCCTGTTATTCCCAAAGCCAGATTAAAAGGAGGGAAGACCTTAAGCAGACAAATAGGGACGTGTATTATGGTGCGTTTTTATCCTATTTCTAAGGTGTAACAACAAAGGGTGGTTGGAGATCAGCGATGCTATTGCTGTGAATGGGATAGGGCTGAGAGGGGGTTGCTGAGTGCGTGGCACGGTACCTGGAGGCTACGGGGTGGACAGGGGAGTACTAGTACCGTGGCAGCGTCTGTCCCCTGTGTAAGGGCTTCCTAATCTCTCTTGCATAAGGGCTGGAGAAGGAGCTTTCACACACCGCTGCTGCGTGCTGGAGTAGCAGCTGCCAGCTGTGGAGCACTGTCGGTTGAAATCCCGCTGTCGGAGCACGTGCAGTTACTAAGGAATAGGACCAGCGAAGCAGTTGGGAGGACAAGCAGCTATAGTCTAGTTCTGGCATGGACCCAGTGGGGGCTGGGAGCGCACGCTGACTGTGAGCCGCCGTGCTGCTTTCTTGGCCAGCCGCTGAGTCCTGCGGAGTACGGTTGTGACAATGGATGCAGGAAGCTCTGGTTGGAAAGGTCTCTTCCAAGTGACATCCTGTTCGTTTCTTTTATCGGGGAGGGAAGCAATTCCATTGCAAGAGGACCCTCATAAAGGGTGTTAATGCAGCCTAGTGTTATCTTTTCATTGCTCTGGTAATTATATTAAGGAGCGAAATTACGGGATGGCTGCGTTTTGCTTTGAGCGCAGTTTCTGTAGTTACTACTTGCGTTGCACGTCACTGATGGAGATGAGCCTGCTGAGATGGTTGTGGTAGAGAAGGAGACTCCCACTGCAGTCTGCTTCCTTGTACACCTCCGAGCATCCATGCATGCAGGTTTTGAGCTGGAATGTTGCCTTTGCGACGCATACCTCCGCGTACTATCTGTGGAAGGGCGCCTAAATAATCCGCGCTGCAGTTTGCATCGGAGGGGGAGGTGATGCTCACAGGCTGCAAGCCAAGCATTTGACTCACACCCGTTATTATATGTGTGCAAGTGCCTCTCTATACTACGTATCCGTGCAATATCATACTGTTCTTGGAAGCAAATGATTTAAAGTGATATACAGACAGTATAATGACAGTAATTATGACAGAGAGCCAGAATACAGATGCTTTCTATCAAGGAGTTTAGCACAAGAGGTGGAATGTACCTTCTACAGAGGTCTTTCCCTGTCTTAGTACAGCTGGTTTTATAAAGGGGTGTTACTGACAGGTTCTTTAAAGAGAGCCTTTGTGCGATTTATTCAGCTGTCTTCTCTGTTTAGCTCAAAAAATCTTTGGGGAAGAGTTTGAGTGTGTGTTTATAACGTGCCTGGTGCAATGGGCCTTGGTTGCAGATGGCAGCTAATATCTGATAAATCATGGCCGCAAGTTGCCCCAGGGGAGGTTTAGATTGTATATTGGGAAAGATTTCTTCACTGAAAGGGCTGTCAGGCGTTGGAACGGGCTGCCCAGGGAAGGGGTGGAGTCGCCATCCCAGGGGAAATTTAAGAGACGTGTGGATGTGGTGCTTAGGGATGTGGTGTAGCAGTGGGCTTGGCAGTGCTGGGTTAAGGGTCGGACTTGATGATCTTAAGGGTCTTTTCCAACCTAAAATATTCTGTGATCAGTGGTTAACCTGGTGTGTTGGTAGAATAAAACCAGACTGAACTGGATTGCTTGAGAGAGAGTCTTGCAGAAGACTGGATGGGGAGAAAAGGTGGGATACAGAAGCTCTCTCTGACAGACATCAGGTGGCTGCTCTCTCGGTCCTCAGGAATTGAACAAACTTATGAAGCAAAAGCACCCAGAGTGAATGATCTGCATCGACGTCAAGTGTTGGTTTCACAGAATAAGGAAAGCTCAGATGCTTTAGTCTGCCTTCCCTGCTCAGCCCACCCTGCTGTGACCCCGGTGACGTTATGAACGAGGTCGGGGTGTATGTGGAGTAGCGATGCCGAGGTGCCTCCAGCTGTGCGTTGTCAGATCACGGCATGTGGCTGACACCGAACGTGAGACACCCCAGTCCGCCATCTTCAGCATTGGTGGGAAGAGGCTGCTTCCAGCGAGGGCAGATCAGCGAAGGTCGTGTTTGGGGTGTCTCTCTGGTGCAGGGCCGGGTGGTATAGGTGCCTACAGCCGGGCTTGAACCTGCTCCCTCTGTGCCCACAATTAGTGAAGTCCTGGACTTGGAGGAGAGCAGGAGGTGTTTTGTTTTCAAAACCTCTCTTGGAACTCAAAAGCCTTGTAAAAAATGGAGCCGGTACATCCTCATAAAACTAAAGAAGGCATTTTTGCCCAATTATATTTGAGCACTTCTGAGCAGAAATTATGCTCCCATTTTAAAATCACCCTCAACTCTAAGAAGGCCTTTGCTTTAAAAGCTGTTGATTGAAGGGTGTTTAAAGTAGCTTGGAAGAACTATGGCAGGTAAACTTCCTGGGGACTTGGGTACGTTGACAGATACAGCTCAAGAAAATACCAGAAGGATCGCCTCTAACAAATGGTATCAAAGCACAGGTCTTCCACACTTCCAGCTTTTGCACCTACCAGAAGCAGAAGGCTGCCCAGACCTGAGCTGAGACAGATCAGACAGCACCACGGCTAATTATCGTGAACTGAGAGAGAAGACTGATTAGTTTCTCAGTGATACAGGAGCCTGGGAGGTGTGAGATAGGTCTTCATCAGGATGAAGATGTGGCAACTTTTAGGGTCTTTCTGTATAAGTTGGTATTGCCAAAAGGCTCGTCTTATTTTGGTGTGCCATTTACATGAAGCATCTGGATTTTGTGTTTCAAAAACAAAAAAAAACGAAAAGGAAGGCATAACCCATAAGTTCTGAATGTGGAAACAAATGTAAGCCAGCTGCAACACCCTTTTCTTGAATCCTCATCGTGAAAATCGGATTTGAAAGATACACGCAGCCCAGGGCCGTGAGAGAGCCCTCCTTACACCCATGCTTTGGACCACAGCAGTGCTGAGAGTTTGTAGAGTTTCTCCACACTGGGGTTAATTTCAAGATAAGAAAGAATTTTGATATCCCTAAAAGAAGGCGAAACACTAACATCCCAATCCTCGGGTCCAGGGGTGATACAGCTTTGTGAAAAGATGAGAGCGATCTCTGGGTAAAGAAACAGATGATAAGAAAACAGCAACGATCCAATTCTGTATAGGTTGTCTCCTTTTCTCTTGAAATACAATATCAAGAAAATGAAACTTAAAAAAAAAATAAAACCCCTTTTTGAAAACTTAACTATAAATCCTTTATTGTAAAATAAATCTTTATCCTTTCAGTGCATGATTGTATGAGTCTTCCCTTTTCAGTGGGTTGTATTTGCCTCTCGGGCTGATTGATGTCTGTCTCCTGTTTGCCCTGTGTTCTTCGCGTGCTCGTCGTAATTCTTCTGTCCGTCTTCCATTGTTCTGTTCAGAAAAAGCACATTCTTAAAGTGCTTTAAAGAAGACAGGATATAATCATACCGTGTGCTTTTATATTTATATATATATTCTTCCATATGCATTTAGACTGCTGTGGAGTGGTGGGGTTTTTTCTTTCCAAAGAAGATCCCAAAGTACGTACTCTAGGTTTAAAATTCATGTGGTGCTTTTTTTCACTTCTTCAGAACTGTAACTTCAAAGGGGCGAGCATCATGGCGCGGTTTGTGCTGAAGCCTAACGCAGCGCCTTACATCTGAAGTGGGGTGCGCTGTATGTCGTGTGAAAAACTCCCCTGGCAAACCCCCCCAAAAAAAAACCCAGTTCATTTGTTTTTCTTTAACCGCTTGAGCTCTGCTCTACGTGGAATTCAGCAGCCACTGCCTGCGTGCACACCAGCAGTTCAGCCCCATCATAGATTTTAAAGTTAGAACTCAAAGACGTAATTTCCATCATTTTAAAATACGTAATTTTTTTTTTGCAAATTATTGATTTCTTAAAGTTTTATATTTTTTTAAAGATTTCTCGAAACTCTTTCTTCCTTCAGGTAACCTTTTCAACACCCCAACAGATCACCTGATAGATGCAAACCCAGATTTTTCAGCTTGAGTTTCACATCCTGCGTCAGTGTTCCTAGCGGGATAGCAACATCCTCTCCTCTGAATAACGTTCCCACAGGATCAGCACGGGAGCTTCAGCGGACCGCGCGACGTGGACATCCACACCGTTTGCCCTTCGACTTTGTGTTGTTCCATGTATTTTCCATGTAACCTCAAATAACAAAACCACCAGTTTGCTTCACTGTTCTTCATCTTAATTAAAGATGATTTCCCTCCGTAGCCAACGCATTATTTAATTAGCGGGATATCCACTCTGAAGACATTCTCTTGCCTTTGTTTTTCCTCCACGATTGTGTTTTTCCACGTGACTGTGTGCTTGCCAGCCGTGTTTCAGCTTCAGCCACACTGAGGTGGATGCACACAGTGGGGCGACTCCTTCCGTCCCCCGGGGACCGGGGTGACACCTCTCTCCGTCACAAACCCCAGGGGCCTCGATGGGCATTTGACGCGGCGAAGCTCTTTGCTTCTGCAGACCCACTTTTCCTTTGCTGCGGCCTGACCCATCGCGCCCAGCTGTGATTAAAAAGTCCTCGCTGGATTTAGCAGGAAATAAAGCAGGATTCCTCCCAGCAATGCCCCGTTCCCTAATTATAGGAAGGAGAAGCTGTTCCTCCAACAGTTTCCCCTATGTGGTCCTAGTGGGATGGCTCTCGAGTGTCGTCGTAGCGCAGATTGCTGGAGGTGGTCGTTCTCCCCTCGCTTTTCCCCCCCAGCTTGCCCTGGGGTATATCAGTTTGCTGATTTCCAGGAAGAGGGTCTGCACATGGTGTTTTTTCAACCCTCTGGTGACAGTATTCACCTATTTAAGTAAAAAAGAAGTCACCTTTTGAGTGGCACTCTGCTGGGACCTCAGCAGTTGGGATAAGTGAATCCATCAAGAAACAGCACCACCCTCTGAGACGTTGAACGGGTCGGGCCTTTCAGGTCAGGGCTGAGGGCAAACCGTACGTGGCCCTCCGTGCAAACCTTCGCTTCTGCACCTTTCATCCGCACTGAATTCACTTTAAGAATGTCGGGGGAAAAGTCTAGAAGGTCTTAACGTGCAACATCCCTCGATCACCAGGTGGTTGGGGCGTGTTTCCTGCAGGTGGAGGGGAGCTTGCTGGAGCCTTTCCCCTTGTCTTTCCTTTCCCTGTAATTTAGGTACATCTGTTTTCCTTTGGAAACTGTTTGGCCTTTGAGTGTGCCGACAGAAGTGCTATTACAGAGTGGGATGGTTTTCAAAGTACTTAACTCTCTCTTTTTTTAACAATCTTAAAGCCTGTTTTCTCAGACATCACTTCAACGCCCACAAATAAGGCCGAAACCAACGGGGAGCGGTTTGTTCTCTGGGCACCCGAGAAACCGGGCACCCGAGAAACCAGGCTCCCGGCCCTTCCCCAACCCACCCGCCGGGGACTTTTGGGAACGGCCGCGTTCTCTCTGAAACTGTGGAATAGATCGAATGTGCACTGCAAACCTTAAAAGTCGAGTCGTTTCCTTCCTTCGTGGCTCGGAGTTGCCTGCGTCGGGCAGGGGGCACCGGTCCGTCGTGTCCGTATCGTAACCCTTCAGCAACGGAATCAGCGTTTTGTAAATTTGGATGATTGCGTTTTGTGTTTACTTACCGTGACTACTGTTCAGACTTTCTTCAGAAATCTTTTTATAGGGTTTATTAGAGAGAAGAAGAAAAAAAAATCATTCCATATTTAGGTAAAAATGTCTCAATCTTCTGTATATATGTTTTATTAATATGTAAATATTTAGATATTTTTAAATAACGATGTTCTTAATAAAGCAACAAGGGACTAGTTGTGAAATGGTGTATAACATTGTGTCGTGTGATCGATCTCTGGGAAACCCTCTTTGTCAGTCCAGAAAAGAAAACCTACAATAAATTACTTTAATTCCATGAGCATTCCTGTGTTCTGTGCTGGATTCCGGCGTTTCAGAGGAATGACCTAGCAATTCCTGGACTACATCTTGAAATATGTAGGAAAACCCTAAAAGTTACCACCACTAGACTCTTTTTTCCAGCTGGCTCAGATGGAAACCCAGCCACCTGCCAGTCACAACGACGTCTATATCTGATGGCGTAATAACTCTCGAGCATTAAGTGCTGATATGCTTCAAGTCTAATTTTAATTGAATTAGGTGCCTTTATAATCTGCACTTAAAAGGTTAAGCTCTGCTTCTATGGAAACAACACATAAGAAGGACAATCCAATACTCCTAATTTGGAGTAGCTGCAAAGATATATGCTTAGTAATTGATTATCACACCCTCATCAAATGTTGTTTAGCCTTAGAAAATATATCCCGCAAAAACACGTTCCTGGTAATCTTCAGTCAATTACAAGGAGCCAGTGGAGTGATTGAGCAGCTCGCCACACCTTTTCTGCTTCATAGAAGGAGCACTAGGGATAAATCGTTGGTAAAAAGTCTAGCGAGAGTTTCCTTTTTAAACTGTGGTGGCTGCACGGATTGGCTGAAGCCTGCTGCACGCCTGGCATCCGTGTGATGGGGCGTGAGTGTTGTGATTTAACCAAACCCAGCACAGTGAGTCAGTGAGTCCCCCTCGGTTGAGGAATGTGGGAAGAGCAGCTGAACATAGATCACAGAGTGGTTTGGGTTGGAAGGGCCCTTAATGATCATCCAGTTCCAACCCCCCTGCCATGGGCAGGGACACCTTCCACTAGACCAGGTTGCTCCAAGCCTCATCCAGCCTGGCCTTGAACACTTCCAGGGATGGGGCATCCACAGCTTCTCTGGGCAACCTGTTCCAGTGCCTCCCCACCCACTCCGGGAAGAACTTCTTCCTGATATCCAATCTAACCCTCCCTGCTTTCAATTTAAACCTGTTACCCCTTGTCCTGTCACTACAGGCCCTTGTAAAAAGACCCCCCCAGCTTCCTTGTAGCCCCTGCAGGTACTGGAAGGTGCTATAAGGTCTCCCCGGAGCCTTCTCTTCTCCAGGCTGAACAAGCCCAACTCTCTCAGCCTGTCCCCATAGCAGAGGTGCTCCAGCCCTCGGAGCATCTTCGTGGCCTCCTCTGGACTCACTCCAACCGGTCTATATCCTTCTGATATTGAGGGCTCCACAGCTGGATGCAGCACTCCAGGTGGGGTCTCACCAGAGCAGAGTACAGGGGCAGAATCCCCTCCCTCGACCTGCTGGCCACACTTCTCTGGATACAGCCCAGGATACGGTTGGCTTTCTGGGCTGCCAGCGCACACTGCCGGCTCATGTTCAGCTTTTCATGCACCCCAAGTCCTTCTCCTCAGGTTCTGTTCTCTATCCATTCTCCACCCAGCCTGTACTGATACTGGGGATTGCCCCGACCCAGGTGCAGGACCTTGCGCTTGGCCTTGCTGAGCTCCGTGGGCTTCACATGGACTCGCTCCTCCAACCTGCCAAGGTCGACAGCGATTTGGTTTGCCTGTGCCCTGCACGTGCCCACAGATCGGCTTCAGATCTGAATGCAACTCATCACTCACACGATTTGGGATCTTCCAGCCTGATGGACCAAATCCATTTGTCACTAAACAACAAGTATTTTCACTCACCTGCTCTGTGCTGCAGGTCATCCCCAAAACTGTGGCTCTGTTTGGCTTGGGACTTTAAACAGGGGCAGGTTAATACGCCGTTATTTGTAACGTTACGCGGAATGCCCGTCCTTAGGATACAGTTAGGAGCGAGAAATGTTGCTGTGTGCTGGGATCCGCAAGGCACTAAATCTCATCATGCTGCCGAGTCACCAGCAAGTACCGCCCCGAGGTTGCGCTTTCACCTGCCGAAACGGCTTCGGGATGGAGCAAGCCCCGTTGCCAGCAGCCACGCGTGGGCTCCGGCCGAGCTCCCGCATCGTGTCAGGCCGTTCAGCCAGTGCGTCCCTCTGTCCGATGCAGAGGACACCCGGGATTAATACTTTGGGTGAAAAAAATCCTTCTGAGGCTTACAAGGAAAAAGGATATCCTCCTGGTAACATGAAAGGAAACTGGAGCTTGGGCTTTATAAAAAATGCATAAATTGTGAGACAAGAAGGAAGTCATGTGAAGTGCCTCTGACATGTGGGTTTAGAAATGCCTGCCTGAGTCTTTAGGGGGAAATACACACCGTCTCGTTGGGGTGGTTTGGGGATGGGTGGTCCTGATGTGGAGACAAACCTTCTGCCCCAAAAACCTACCTCTGCTGAGGTCATGATGCCTCACTGGGAATTGCTTTTCCCCTTTGCCAAGGGAGGGAGGAGGCACAGTCCCAGGAAAAACCCTCAATGCCGACAGCACCCTCCCAGAGGGAACAGATGTAGCCAGGATTTAGCCAGACTTTGCAAAAATAAACCCCTTGGCCACATTCTCCCCCAAACCTAAAGTAGCAAAATGGGTTGTAGGAGGTGCCGAGACATCCCTTCTCCCTCCGCTGGCTCTCCCGCTGCCCCAGCATCCCCGTGGACAGGCTGAGGCAAGTGCCTTCACCCCTTCCCTGCCACGCTGTCACCGCAGAGAGGCACGAGAAGGGTTTGTACAAGTAGGTCAGGTATGAATTCTCATACACCAAATGCTAATAAAAGCCACCGATGTGAAACCTATAACATTAGGTGTATAAATAATTTAGCTCCGGTGTGTAAACATTGATTCTGGGCTGTAAAAAAAAGAAATAATTCTATCAGCTTTTTCCCCTCCCCTCCATGCATATGTCTTCACGTTTGACTGTTAACAGGGGCAGAAAATAGCTAATACTTGGGGAATTTGGAAATCAGGAAGACACACCCCTTGTGATTCTTCCTCCACCCAGATCCTCAGAGGTGTAGAGGAATCAGGATGAGCAAGGCAGCTCATTAGGAACAAACCTAATTCTGGCTTGTAATTGCAGGTAATTACTGACCAGAGGGATGGTGGTAAGAGGAGAAGAGGCCCACATCACCCACGTTCTCCCCTTTGCTCCTCTCAATCCCTCACACGGATGCAGGCACTGGGCTCACCGTATGTAGCATCTATCTGAACTTTCCAGCAGCTGCCTTCAGATGAGGTATTTTGCCCTTAAATTGCCCTCAGGAGTCCCCCACAGGGTGTTCAAGCCCACCTTGGGATGACGTTGTGGCTCTCCAGCCCTGGAAGACCTCACCACAGCAGAAGGAGAAAGGTAACTGCCAAACAGCAATAGCATCCCTTGGGGAGCAAGTTCAGCCATCACGAGTGGCTGCAAGGGGCGAGCGAGGCCCCCTGGCTGGAAACGTTGGGCCAAGGCCAAGAAGGAGATGTGTTGGCTCACCCTTGCCCTGTGAGACCCTCTGGAGGGACCTTTGTAAAGGATTACGATCTGGTGTGGCAGATAGTGTGCCGTTAGCTGGGGCCCGGGCCCAAATGTTGCCAAAA